GCAGAGGTGGGGGGGGATGTATCTGGGCCAGCGGGGACAGGGGAGTCACAGCAGGCCTCCTGGAGAAGGGGCACGGCTGGGAAGGAGAACGAAGGGACAGGAGGTGCAGAGTGCATCGGACCTTGTGTTAGGGCTGGTCCAGTTTCCCAAGGTCATCTGGATGGGGGTGGAAGCAGGAGGGAGGGACGGAAGGTTCTGGAGCACCCAAGCATCCCCGCTTCGCACACGGGGGCTCTGAGCAGTGCAGGGCGGGGCGAGTGCCGTGTCCAGAACGTGCTTCTCGCCCTCCTCTGGCTGAGACCCTCACTGTCCCGCACCTGGCTCTCCTGTCCCCGAGGGGACTCAGCTGCTGGTTGGGAAGGGGCCGGCTCATCACTACAGCCACCTGCCCCATCACCCCTCACCCCTCACCCCCGCCACCTCCCGTCTCCTTTCCTGTCACGTTCATTTTGTTTTAGCTTCTTGGAAGCATCGTTTCAAGCTGCCTCAAATACTGGGACAGAGCAGAGAACCCGTCCTCCCAGCTCAGGTCACACGGAGCAGCCCCGGGCCTGTCACAGTCCGACTCATGTCTGTCCCCAGCCTGACCCAGGGCAGGCCCCACAAGAGCAAACCCACGCATCCCCTCCAGTGCCCACCTCCCGAGCCCCCAACCCCAGTGGAAAGAATCACATCCTCAGGTACCTCCTGGGCTGTCCCCGCCCACCCTCTCTTGTCCCCTCTTGGGGATGGCATCTACACCCTGGATGGCAGCCCCACCCAGACCCAGCATCCAAGCCGGGAACCCCAACCCAGGAACCCGTCCTGTGTCTGCTGTGCCAACCACACTCGACTTGCCAGGCCCGGCCCCCAACAGGCACCACCGGCCTCTGAAGATGGCAGCAGGAATCGGGCTCAGCCCAAGGTGGCCCCTCCTCCACAGAGAAAATAGGGCACAGAGCTGGCCCGACCCCCAACCCACCTGCCAAGGGCAGCCTGCCTGGCCTCCAGCCTCCCCAGCCGCCAATGCCTGTCCCGCGTTGAGTGCCCTGGCCACCTGCCCGCCCTCCTTCCATGGGCCTTCTCCTCTCCCCAGGGCAGCTGCTGCCCCTGCCCCAGCACTACCCCTCTGTCCTCTTCCCAGACTGGGGGTTCCAGACCACCGCCCTGACCCGGCCTGGCCCATCCCTGCATTCTCCCAGGCAAGCTCGTCCACGTTCAGCCATGCTACACAGAGCCACTCACCTGTCCTTGGCCCACTGCCCATCCCACCTCGCCCACCTGGGCCAGGACCCACCCCACCGTCCACTGTCACCCCACCATCCTGTCACCCCACCCCCCGGCCCTCCACCCCCAGCACCCCACCTCCCACTAATCCCCCAGCACCCTGTTGTCCATCAGCCCGCTGTGCACTGCTCACTGTCATCCTGCTGTCCAATCTCACCCCATTGTCCCCTCCCTGCCCGTATGGGTCAGACTTTCTGGCTGTCACTGTGCCCATGCTCTTGGGCCGGGTGCCTACCTGAATGTGTCCTCACAGATCCAGGGGGTAAGGCAGCCGCTCCCTAGACAGAGAGAGCACGTGTCAGTGTGTCCATCCGACGTCCGTCACATCCTGCCCCCTGAGCCTGAAAACCAGGATGGTAACCCTGAGAGTGACACAAGTCATGGTGTCCTGGGCCACCTCAGGGGAGACCAGCCTGGGATCCCCGACTCCTCCTCCAGGGCCCTTTGGCCCACTGCCCTGACCGTCCAGGCCGGGGCAGCTCCGCGTCACGGCCCATGGGACATGCTGAAGGCTTCAGTGTACGGCACAGGGGTGCTGTGAGCCAGGTCGGCAAACTAGGCCAAGTCACCCCAACTATTTTTGTTAGCAGGGTATTGCTGGAACACAGCCACGCCCGCACATGCGCACTGTCCAGGTTGAGCCACTGACACAGCATGAGTGGCCCACAGGGCCCAGTATCTCCTCCTCAGCCCTTCGGTGCATGGTGCAACCTGCTCTAAGCCACTTGTGGGGAGGACCCTGCAGGTGAGATGAGCACAGTCACCCCAAACTGCACAGTTACTCCCCTTTGCCTGGTCCTGAAACAGGCAGCACCTCAGTGGAGGTGCAGGTAGACTGGGGGGGAGGGGCAGCCTGGGACAGGTCTGCAGACAGGTGGGGGAGGGAGGGACAGTGGCCGCTGCTGCTGAGCTGGCCTAAGACTGGAAACATCCCAAGCCCCTCTGAGGAGAAGACCCCGCCCAGGTCCCCGACCCTGGGGCAGGTGACTGGAAAGAGCCCAGCATCCCCAGCACCCAGCACATCTGAGGGGGCCGCCTGGCAGGGGGGCTTCCTGGGGTGGGGGGCGCTGGGAGGCTGGAAACAGGGCTCAGCACCGGACACTGGTCCAGGCCATACTGGAGGGCAGATGGTCACATGGCGGGGCTGGGACCCCCCAGACAAAGATGCCCTGAGCAAGCCAGCTGCTCTAACCTCATCACCATTCATAGCGAAGCCCCATGCATGCAGACTTGGGGACCTGGGAAGGGCATGTGGCAGCCCCCAGGACAAGGGGCTGATACCCCAGAGCCCATGGTAAACACAGGCCTCCGCACACGCCTCTAATGCAGGAGCAGGCCCTCAGGAGCCCCGTGACCGTGCGGGGGCTGATCCTAGCAGCTCAGTGGCCCCCACAAATGGCACCTGCTCAGGAAGGCCATCCCTGCAGGTGCTGGGTCACACCAACGCTGGGGGCGGCAGAGTACAACAAGGTGACCTCACTCCCCACCCCTGGCCAGGACCAGAAGGTGGCCCACAGGTGGGCAGCACGTGGCCCTGGGCAGGCAAGGACACGGGACCAGTGTCTGCCCTGTCTGGTTGCCCCTGGCCCTGAGGAGAAGCCCCAACCCCACTCAGGGAGGAGGAGCCAAGGCTAGTGACCCTGGGCTGCCCAGCGGGCAGTGGGCGGAGGCTTCGGGTGCCCAGGGCCCACCCATGAGTGCTCCAGAAAAAGGAGTGAAGGCAGATGACCTGGCTACGTCCCCACAGGGAAAGGTGTCCTGGGGGGAACACCATGGGGTCCCCAGGGGAGACTGAGGCACACTTGCTGGGGGAGCCGGGCCCTCCTCCTCCCAAGTCACCCCATCACACAAGATGCCACGGCCCCAGCAGCCCCCAGCACTGGGAGCTGCAGCCTGATTTCTCTTGCAGCGAGGCTGACTGGGCTGCCGTGAGTGGAGGTGACAGCAGCAGAGATCACAGTGGCAGCTCCACTAATGCACATCTATTGAGCACCTACATATACTGCCCCATCAGACTCCCCAGTGCAGCCCAGCAAGGTCGGGCGCATTGTCCCATCTGCAGAAGAGGAAACTGAGGCTCAGAGAGGTATAGTGACTTGCTGGGCCATCCAGCCGGTGGGAGGTAGATGTGCCCCGATATCAATTCCCAATACTGGCCCCCCACAATGCAGCAGCTTGCAGGATCTGACCCAGAGCACCCCCCCAGACTCGGTCCCCCAATGGGGTGGCAGGCAAGCATGGAAACAGGCAGGGTAGGGCGGGGCACCCCGCACAAGACGTGCAGGGGCAACAGGGACGGGGGCTCCAGGCTCAGAGCCAGCACCCTCGCTGGCCCAGGAGGCAGCACGTCCATCCTCACCTGGACGTAGGGATCCCTGAGCCTGCGGGGCCACTGAGGACCTCACTGTGGTCTCCAGTGATCAAACAGGAACATGCCACGTGCATGCACACACGCGTGCACACGTGGGCTCGTGCGCTGTCCGAGCAGTCTCCTTCACACCTCCATGGCACTTAGGCCAAGGCCTACAAGACCAACGAGGCCTCAGGCTGCTCTGTGACCTGCAGGCCCAGGGGCCAGGCCCCAGGGGTTTCAGATCCAGTCAAGGGCTAGTGGGGAGGGCGGGCAGGGAGGCAGAGGGGGCCAGCCACATGGAAAAGGACAAGGCGGTAAGAAAAGAGTTTTATTTCCAGTCTCAGCACGTATTACAAACAGTGTCAGATTTTTAAAATGTAAAGGAGCGACCCAGGCAGCCAACAGTGAAGGTGCAAAGCAGGACAGCCGCGAGGAGCCGTGCGCCCCAGGGCAGGGCTGGCTGAGATGCATCGGGCCGCGCCCGGCACAGGCAGCGGGCAGCGCGAGGAGCCGGAGCCTCCGCGTGCCCGTGGCCGGGGGCCCTGACCTCTCCCTCTGGTCCTGACCGCCAGCTTCGTGGTCCCAGCATGGAGGGTGCAGGAGTGCCAGGTGGGGGCTTTTAGGGACCCTCCCGCGAGCTGACCCTCGGAGCCCAGGTCAAGTGGAAGACGAAGTGGAGCACTCTGAGCGGCTGCCCCCCAGCTCCCCGCACTGCATTGAGCCCCCCGGGCACAGGAGAAGGCTGGTGGGCAGGGCGGCGGGGTCCAGACCACAGAGGCGCGGACCCCGCAAGTCACGGAGCCTCCTGAGCTTCGGTTCCCCAGAGGACGGGGCTGCGCCCTGCTGGGGTGCTGGGGGAAGAGGCGCGGGGTAACTACGTAAAGCTGGTCACACGCGCGGACCAGGGAGCCTGGTCTCTGGATGGGGTTCACGGAGCTCGGGGTGTCGGGAGCTGCTGCTGCGGAGGCCTGAATTTTCAGCGGTGCATGATTGCACAGTGAGGAGGTGACCGGGAACGCGATGGAGGAATCGGTCCCCCACGAGGCGGTCAGTGGGGCAGGAGGAGGATGGGCCCTGCACCCAGCCCGGCCCCGGCCAGTGGCAGTGTCCAGCCCTCAGTATCCAGCACAGGGCGCGAGCGGACGGGGCACAGCATCCACCTGAGCCCCAGGGCTTGGGCCTTGGGGCTCCGCTGACCGGACCCACCTGGCCAGAGCCCCCACCTTCCAGAGCACGCCTCCCCCTGCCCCCTCCACTGGCAGCCCCACCGCTGGGCTGGTGGCCCCCCGCCCACCAAGCCCTCGCCGCCGGCTGGGCGGCTTCTGGAACCCGATGCAAAAAGCACCCTCTCTGCAAGGAGGCCGGTGCCGCCTCTCCCATCCAGAGGGGCCTGGGCTGAGGCTCTCAGGGAGCAGGGTTTACCTTGAGTCCTCCACAGACTGGACATGTTGAAAAGAAAGCCGGAGGTGGCCCGGCGTGGGGGCTGCCAGCCTCCCAGGGCTCGCCGGGGGCTGGGCTGGGCAGCGCTGCCTCGCTGCCTGAGGCCTCTGTCGCCTGTCCCCGCCGTCTTGCGCCCAGCCAGCCAGAGGGACACCCGGCGGACGTCTGGCCGCCCAGGTCCCCAGCAGCACCGTCGTCAGGACTGCCCTGGGGGGCCGAGCGCAGGCTGCGGGGCGTGTCATAGTGGTGCCGCAGAGAGGTGGGCACCTGGTACTCCGCTGCGCCGGGCGGGCAGGCGCACAGGCTGGGCTCGGGCGCCCCAGCTGGTGGCGGCAGGCTCTGCAGCGAGCCGAAGTCATCGCCGGCCCGCCACACGTCCAGGCTGCTGCCCGCGTAGGATGATAGGCTGCCCGAGCAGGAGGAGCGGCTGCCCGTGGCGATGCCGCTGTCGGAGGAGCTCTGGCGGCCGACCTCCCGCAGCTGCCGTGGCCGCAGCGACGTGGGGGGCAACCTGGAGGCGCCCAGAGTGGCATCCTTGGGGGCCTGGGCAGCCGCCAGGCCCGGCCCCTCCTGGGACGTGCTGGCCGAGGACGAGGACTGCTCTGGCCACGCGGTGAGCCGGCTGCCGGCGCTGATGTCCGAGTGGCTGGCTTCTGAGGACGAGCTGGACAGGCTGCGGTCATCCCCTGAGACGAGAGTGGGGAGCTGAGGCCGCTGGGGGGCTGGGGGGCTGTGGAGGGCGCGGGGTGGAGCTGCGTCCAGTGCCCCCAGGGGCACTCTCCAGTCTCTCGTCAACATCCTGGGACAGCTTCCCCCACCTCCCCAGCCCCCGCACCTGGAGGCTGGAGCAGAAGTCCCTCTCCCCTCACCCGATCCTGAGCCCACTCCTATCTTTCAATCTCCAGCTCCCTCTAGAACTTCGCCCCACCCTTCTGTCCCCTCTGTCCTTCCTTGACCCCCACCCCTGCTCCTGATGTCCCCCCCAGTAGGGGGTCTTCCTAAAATACGATTTGAGCACACCCCTCTTCTTGCTTCCAGCCCATTCCAGGGCCCTGCGGCCTGGCTCCTGGGCTCCTTCTCCCCCCAGGCGCCTGGCCATCCTGACCACCTTCCAGCTGTGGCTCTGGCTCTCAGCCATGCCTGGGGCAGCCACCCAGCCTTCCCTGGGGACTTCCCAGGCCCTTCCAGCATGGACACGAGGCCCTGGGTACACCCACAGCCACTGACTCACCCACGTGGCCCACACCACACTCTGCTGTCACTGCCTCGGTCCTGGTCTCCCCTCCCCCATAGATCCTAAGCCCCCTGAGGACATGAACCCCTGTCTTGTCACGTGCCAGGCCCTGCCCCCTCTCGCTTGGAGCCCATGGGAAAACCAGTCTCTGCTCTCTCATCTCTCAGCGCTCGCCTGGCCTGCCCTCCGGGGCTCCAGAGAAACCAGGTATGAGCTGCACCCAAGAAGGTAGGACCTCAAATATACTTGAGACCCCCTGCTTCTCTGGGGAGGGCCTGCAAGGGAGGGGAGAAGGCCTCTGTCCCCTCTGTGTGCCCCACGGGACAGGCAGCAGCCAGAAGTTACAGACAGAACCAGCGGAGCTCCCACGCTCTGGTCTGGGAAGACCCCAGAGCAGCCCACCCACCAAGCTGGCCACACTCACAAGAGCTGCAGCAGCCCCTCGCTGGGCGGCCAGCCCCTCCCGTCCATCTTCCCACACAGCAGCCAAGACAGAGTCACCGGCCCTGGGGAGGGGCCTCTGCTCCTGGGCAGCAGCTCCCCCTGCCCCTGAGCCCTTCTGTCTGAGCACAGCCAGGAAAACGGAGGCACAGGAGGCCACGAGCCTTGCCCAGGCCACACAGATGGTGAGCAGGAAAGAGGTCAAACCCAGCTCTCATGACCAGCACCACGCTTCCTGTCAGGGCTTCGGGCCAGAGTTTAGGACATGTTTGTGGAATTGTGAGTGAGGGAATGAAAGAATGAACAGGAGAGAAATGAATGAGTGAATGCACCAACAGGAGAGGAATGAATGAATGAATGAGTCAACAGGAGAGGAGTGAATGAGTGAATGCACCAACAAGAGAGGAGTGAATGAATAAATGAGCCAACAGGAGAGGAATGGATGAATGAGTGAATGTGCCAACAGGAGAGGAATGAATGAATGAATGAGTCAACAGGAGAGGAACGAACGAATGAGTGAATGCGCCAACAGGAGAGGAAAAAATGAGTCAACAGGAGAGGAATGAATGAATAAATGAGTCAACAGGAGAGGAATGAATGAATGAGTGAATGCGCCAACAGGAGAGGAATGAATGAATGAATGAGTCAACAGGAGAGAAATGAATGAATGAATGAGTCAACTGGAGAGGAATGAATGAATGAGTGAATGTGCCAACAGGAGAGGAATGAAGGAATGAATGAGTCAACAGGAGAGGAGTGAATGAGTGAATGCGCCAACAGGAGAGGAGTGAATGAATGAATGAGTCAACAGGAGAGGAATGAATGAATGAGTGAATGCACCAACAGGAGAGGAATGAATGAGTGAATGAGTCAACGGGAGAGGAAAGTGAATGAGTGAATGAGTCAACAGGAGAGGAGTGAATGAGTGAATGAGTCAACAGGAGAGGAGTGAATGAGTGAATGAGTCAACAGGAGAGGAGTGAATGAGTGAATGAGTCAACAGGAGAGGAGTGAATGAGTGAATGAGTCAACAGGAGAGGAGTGAATGAGTGAATGAGTCAACAGGAGAGGAGTGAATGAGTGAATGAGTCAACAGGAGAGGAGTGAATGAGTGAATGAGTCAACAGGAGAGGAGTGAATGAGTGAATGAGTCAACAGGAGAGGAGTGAATGAGTGAATGAGTCAACAGGAGAGGAGTGAATGAGTGAATGAGTCAACAGGAGAGGAGTGAATGAGTGAATGAGTCAACAGGAGAGGAGTGAATGAGTGAATGAGTCAACAGGAGAGGAGTGAATGAGTGAATGAGTCAACAGGAGAGGAGTGAATGAGTGAATGAGTCAACAGGAGAGGAGTGAATGAGTGAATGAGTCAACAGGAGAGGAGTGAATGAGTGAATGAGTCAACAGGAGAGGAGTGAATGAGTGAATGAGTCAACAGGAGAGGAGTGAATGAGTGAATGAGTCAACAGGAGAGGAGTGAATGAGTGAATGAGTCAACAGGAGAGGAGTGAATGAGTGAATGAGTCAACAGGAGAGGAGTGAATGAATGAATGAGTCAACAGGAGAGGAGTGAATGAATGAATGAGCCAACAGGAGAGGAGTGAATGAGTGAATGAATCAACAGGAGAGGAGTGAATGAGTGAATGAGTCAACAGGAGAGGAGTGAATGAGTGTATGAGTCAACAGGAGAGGAGTGAATGAATGAATGAATCAACAGGAGAGGAGTGAATGAGTGAATGAGTCAACAGGAGAGGAGTGAATGAGTGTATGAGTCAACAGGAGAGGAGTGAATGAATGAATGCGCCAACAGGCGAGGAGTGAATGAATGAATGAGTCAACAGTAGAGGAATGAATGAGGGAATGCGCCAACAGGAGAGGAGTGAATGAATGAATGCGCCAACAGGCGAGGAGTGAATGAGTGAATGAGCCAACAGGAGAGGAGTGAAAGAGTGAAGGAGTCAACAGGAGAGGAATGAATGAGTGAATGAGTCAACAGGAGAGGAATGAATGAGTGAATGCGCCAACAGGAGAGGAGTGAATGAATGAATGCGCCAACAGGAGAGGAGTGAAAGAGTGAATGAGTCAACAGGAGAGGAGTGAATAAATGAATGAGTCAACAGGAGAGGAATGAATGAATGAATGAATAAACAGTAGAGGAATGAATGAGGGAATGCGCCAACAGGAGAGGAGTGAATGAATGAATGCACCAACAGGAGAGGAGTGAATGAATGAATGAGTCAACAGGAGAGGAGTGAATGAATGAGTCAACAGGAGAGGAATGAATGAGTGAATGAGTCAACAGGAGAGGAGTGAATGAGTGAATGCACCAACAGGAGAGGAGTGAATGAATGAATGAGTCAACAGGAGAGGAGTGAATGAGTGAATGAGTCAACAGGAGAGGAGTGAATGAGTGAATGAGTCAACAGGAGAGGAGTGAATGAGTGAATGAGTCAACAGGAGAGGAGTGAATGAGTGAATGAGTCAACAGGAGAGGAGTGAATGAGTGAATGAGTCAACAGGAGAGGAGTGAATGAGTGAATGAGTCAACAGGAGAGGAGTGAATGAGTGAATGAGTCAACAGGAGAGGAGTGAATGAATGAATGAATCAACAGGAGAGGAATGAATGAGTGAATGTGCCAAAAGGAGAGGAGTGAATGAATGTATGAGCCAACAGGAGAGGAGTGAATGAGTGAATGAGTCAACAGGAGAGGAGTGAATGAGTGAATGAGTCAACAGGAGAGGAGTGAATGAGTGAATGAGTCAACAGGAGAGGAGTGAATGAGTGAATGAGTCAACAGGAGAGGAGTGAATGAGTGAATGAGTCAACAGGAGAGGAGTGAATGAGCCAATAGGAGAGGAGTGAATGAGTGAATGAGTCAACAGGAGAGGAGTCAATGAGTGAATGAGCCAACAGGAGAGGAGTGAATGAATGAGTCAACAGGAGAGGAGTGAATGAGTGAATGAGTCAACAGGAGAGGAGTGAATGAGTGAATGCGCCAACAGGAGAGGAGTGAATGAGTGAATGAGTCAACAGGAGAGGAGTGAATGAGTGAATGAGTCAACAGGAGAGGAGTGAATGAGTGAATGCGCCAATAGGAGAGGAGTGAATGAGTGAATGAGTCAACAGGAGAGGAGTGAATGAGTGAATGAGTCAACAGGAGAGGAGTGAATGAATGAATGAGTCAACAGGAGAGGAGTGAATGAATGAATGAGTCAACAGGAGAGGAGTGAATGAATGAATGAGTCAACAGGAGAGGAGTGAATGAATGAATGAGTCAACAGGAGAGGAGTGAATGAATGAATGAGTCAACAGGAGAGGAGTGAATGAATGAATGAGTCAACAGGAGAGGAGTGAATGAATGAATGAGTCAACAGGAGAGGAGTGAATGAATGAATGAGTCAACAGGAGAGGAGTGAATGAATGAATGAGTCAACAGGAGAGGAGTGAATGAATGAATGAGTCAACAGGAGAGGAGTGAATGAATGAATGAGTCAACAGGAGAGGAGTGAATGAATGAATGAGTCAACAGGAGAGGAGTGAATGAATGAATGAGTCAACAGGAGAGGAGTGAATGAATGAATGAGTCAACAGGAGAGGAGTGAATGAATGAATGAGTCAACAGGAGAGGAGTGAATGAATGAATGAGTCAACAGGAGAGGAGTGAATGAATGAATGAGTCAACAGGAGAGGAGTGAATGAATGAATGAGTCAACAGGAGAGGAGTGAATGAGTGAATGAGTCAACAGGAGAGGAGTGAATGAATGAGTGAATGCGCCAACAGGAGAGGAGTGAATGAATGAATGAGTGAAAGGCGTGGAGTCTGCAGCCCCCACACGCGCGCACATCGCTGCCAGCCCCTCTGCTGGGCGCTGGCTTAGAGCGAGGCGGACAGCACGGTGCCCCTGCCCTACCTCCGCTGCCCGGCCGGCCCGAGTGTGAGAGGAGGCTGAGCCGCTTCTCCAGCTGCAGGGCTTCCAGGGCCTCCTGGGCCACTCGCTCCTCCAAAGTCGAGGGCCCCCCAGGGCTCGGGTCTGTGGCAGAGGAGAGAAAGTGAGGAAGTGGCCCACACCTCCAGCCCCCCAGGCCGCACACTGTCCTGGGTGTCCTGGTGAGTCCAGCGCCATCAGGACCACACACACCCTGGTCCAGCCCCAATGCAGTGGTCAGGTGAGTGGTGACCCAGCTACTCCCCACAAATCCCCCATCTGTCCAGTCATCAGGACCCCAAGCCAGCACACTCCCTTCCCCCTCACCAAGTTTATGGATTGTCCATCTCTCAAATGACCATCCCTGCCACCCACCCCGGCTCATATGCCCACTTCTTGCAGGTCTCCCCTGCCACCCGAATGAAGTGCCACCCCGACCCTACCGTGCCCTGCTGCACCCTGGCCCTTGGATGGAGCCTCAGCTGTCACCTGAGGCTCAGAGCACATAGCCTGCTGACCCTCGGGCCCCCGCCCAGTCCCTCCCTCATGACTGTTGTCCAGAGAGCACTGGCACCAACCCTCTCTGGTCCTCACCCATGTGTCCCATGGGCTGGGTGGCAGTACACCTCCTCTTCCCACCCAGGCTGGGTGGGGGACCTCGGCAGCTCTTCAGCACCTGTGGCCCTGAGCCCTAACTTTTGTGAGTTGTGTCTTTCTCCTCTCAGCAGCAGCCCTGGAGGGCAGGAAGCTCACCCTGCTGTCCCCATGCCCAGCCATGCTGGCTTGTCCTGGGCACTCAGCTGAGAGGCTGTTCAGCCCCAAACACTGCCCTGGCCCTTCCACATTCCCTGCACACACAGCCACGGCCACGTGGAGAGCCACAGTCCCTACCCACTAAGGCACACCGACCCCTCCAGCTCAGAGCAGCCTCCTCTGGGCCTCTAGGGACAGCCTGGGGCAGGGTTGGCACCCGACTGCCATCGGCTCCCACAGCTAGGGGTGTGTGGTGGCAAGGCCTGTGCCAAGCAGCTGGCTGCCGCCCAGGACTCCTGCAGGAGTGGGACCCAGAGCAGGGCAGTGGGACCCACTCTCCCTAGGATCTGGGAGCAGGGGTGCTGTGACAAGTTCCTATCAAATCCTGCAGCACACAGAGAACTAGAAAGCACAGCCTGTAGCTGGGGGCACCTGGACCAGAGCCCCACGGGCAGAGCAGGGCAGAACCAAGCCGCGGCCCCAGACACACACCGGAAGGGTCTCGAGGAGCAGCCCCCCCAACCCACCACTCTGGCCACCCCGGGGCACTGCCCAGGTGAGCCAGGGGCAGTGCTGCCCGGGACAGGGATCGGGCAGCACAGTCTCTCTTCCCGTCTCCTGGAAAGGCGAGGACGGTCACAGCCGTGCAACTCAGGCCCATCCCCCCCCTGACCCCACTACGGGCCGCACAACCCACCAGACGGGACAGCTTCCCCAGGCTCTCTTGCAGACACCCTGCCACACGAGCAGACGGCAGGCCCACTCCCGGCTACAGACCTGGCAGCAGCAGGCGTGGCCCAGAGTCTAGGCTGGAAACAAGCACAGTGACAGCGGTGGCACCCCTGACCTCAGCCCTGTGGACACTCGTCCCAGGCCCTCTGGTGACACCAGGCTCAGGATGCCCTCCTGACCATACCCATCTGGTAGCTGCAGGGGCAGGAGGACACTGAAGGACTCCCAGCCTCACCCCTCACCCCCAAGCCTCTCATCCCCGCCTGCAATGTGGGGGTGCAGCAGCAGCACACCCCAGTCAAGACAGGGGCCAGGATGGGGACATGCACAAGAGGACACCCAAAAGCCCAGAACTCGAGGCTGCTGCCCAGCAGAGGCCACATCTCAGGAGCCCCCAGCAATCACAGGGCTTCAACGTGACCCAGGCCAAGCACAGACAATGGAGCCCACCAGCCCCCAGACCCTCCCAGAGTCCAGCCCTCAGGGGCTGGGACCCACGACTCCTCTGGCCAGAGGCTGACTAGCTCAGTGCCCTGCTCAGCTGGCACATCAGGGTGACCTGAGGCCCCCACACCTGGAGGGTGACCCTGACAGCAGTAGGCTTTAAGAGTTCCCAGCTGGTTCCAAGGAGGACGGTCTGTGCAATGGGTCTGCCACTTCCTGTCAGCCCAGCCACCCACCAGCCCCACCTGGGACAGCCAGCTTGACCCTGCTGTAGGGCCCATCAGGTTGCTGGACAGCTCTGTCCCCAGGCTGAGCCTCCCCGAGGCATCCTCTGTCTAGTGCTGTGCCCCAGCACCCCCTCCTCGCACAGGAACCCCTACAGGAAGCAGGAGAGAGCACCCCACCCCCCATGAGTCTCCCACTCCCCAGGCCCGGGCCATGGTCCTGGCTCTCCAGGGGCTGCTGGATGAGTCCCGCCTCCACCCCAGCTCTGCACCCCAGGGCGGCGCTGTGGGTGGACCATGCCCGGGGGAAACACACTGTCCTCGCCCTACACGCCCCCGCCACTCACACGCACACTGTCCTCGCTGCGCACATGCACACTGTCCACGCCGTGCACACGCACACTGTCCACGCTGTGTCCCCACCGCGCACACACACACTGTCCACGCCACGCACACACACTGTCCTTGCCACGCACACTGTCCACGCCACGCACACGCACTGTCCTCGCCGCGCACACGCACTGTCCTCGCCGTGCACACGCACTCTCAGGCTGCAAGGAACGAAGACGCCAGCAGGGGGCGCCGCCGCACCGTCCAGCAGCGCTGGGCAGACGGCAGGACCCGGCCACAGGAGCTGCCTCCCTCCTCCCCGTAACCATCCCACCTGTGCCTGTGCCGGGGGTGGGCAGCGGGCGTTGAGAGCTGCAGCTGCGAGACGAAGGCCCCGGTGCCCTCTGTGGGACGGGCGTGTCACGGGCATTACCGTCCTCCCAGGGCGCCCCCCTGCCAGCCCAGGCTGGGTGCGATGGGAGGAGGTGGCAGATGTGAGCTCACTGACCGCCCCCAGTGTGGCCACAGGCCTTGGTCTCCCACCTGGACCATGGGACAAGCACTGCGGCAAGGGCAGCATCAGAGACAGCCCATACGCGGCGCCCAGACCATGACCTACCAGAACCTAAGACAGCCCAGCCCTGCTCTGGGCCCACAGTGACTGGGCAGTGTGGCCCTCTGAGGTCCAGAGCGTCCCTGGCCAAGCACTCCTGAAGAATGGCAGCCTGGCCACAGCCAGGGAAGCAGGGCAGGGACAAGAGGAGACACTTTCGGCATGGCCTTGCTACCCACCCCAGATGCGTTCTGAGACCCACATGCCAGGCAGCCTCACAAGGTGGCTTCTGGCCTGGATGCCAGGCTCCCATGGAGCCAGTCCTGGCCCCCGCAGAGTCAGGCCAGCAGCCGATGCACCAGCAACCTCAGGCAAGGCCCTCCCTGCTCCAGGTCTGGGAGACGGGGGTGGCGCAGAAGGTCTCCAAGATCATGGGCCTCTTACTGCCCAGACAGGTGCAGCTGTGACTAAGCTGTCCCCACCAGAAGACTTCAGGCCCTGAGCATCCCAACAGATCAGACCCTGCATAGGAAGCACCTGCAGGTGTGAGCTCAGTCCCAAGACACGCTGACAGTCCCCCTCAGAAGCCCCAGGGTGCCCTGGCAGTGAGCTGCCCGCAGCTGCAGCCCCGGGCCCCACAGCACTCTGATCTCCCGACTGCCCGTTCCCTGTCTGGCCTGATCCGACCACGCTCCCGCACGCACCTGGGAGAACCGGCCTCAGCCCAAAGGGGCCCTTGGTCGGGGAGACGCCCCTCACGATGCAGTCAAACAAGAAGCTGATCTGCTCCCCCTCAGCCGAGGACAGGAAGAAGACTCCAGCCCCTGCAGACGGAAGACAGAGACATGGGTCAGCTGGGCCCGAGCATGGGGTGGGGGAACCCCTGCAGAGTGGGCAGGGTGCTGTCAGGTGGGGGAACACAGGAGACCTGAGCAAACTCCGGTTTGCATGACCGGAGTCACCAGGCCAGTGCAGCCGTGTCCCCAAAGCTCCTGGACTTCGTCTCTTCTCACACTAGCAAGCCCCACTGCATTACGCAAACAGACACAGCTTAGGGCCAGCCTGTGGCTCACTTAGGAGAGTGCGGTGCTGATAACACCAAGGCCATGGGTTCGGATCCCATATAGGGATGGCCGGTTTGCTCACTGGCTGAGTGTGGTGCTGACAACACCAAGTCAAGGGTTAAGATCCCCTTACCAGTCATCTTTAAAAAAACAAAACAAAACCACACACAGCTTGTCAAGGCGGCTGGCCCAGGCCACCTCGTCAGGCTGACCTCTCCCTCTCCCCGCCATCCCCCGCCTGGAGCGACATGAGCCCCAGGTGCTGGGGTTGAGCACGGCCCCTTGTGCAGAGCCTGGGGAACTGACAGGGTGGCTTCTGCAGAAAGCCAGCCCAGCACTCTGTCCTCAGCCACGCTGTGTGCAGGAACACAGCGGTCCTGCATCTGGGGCACCAGGAGCACGGTCCTGGAGTTCTCCCCCTGGCGGAGGACCATGCACCCACCTGTGCGCCCACCCTCCAGGGCTTAACTGGGGACCAAGGGCGGACACGCAGACTCTGTTCCACTAACAGGCAGCTGTGTGATGAGTCTTCACCCACCCTTCAAGCCTTGATTTCCTCAACGGCCCCAGGGGACCAGTAACCCCAACCCCACAGGGCTGTTCTGAGCTAGGATGACAAGCTAGGAAGCCCCAGAGCTGCATCCAGTCCCCAGGCCCATAAGGGGACAGGAGCTGGGCTGCCAGGCACTGGGTTCTTGCCCCAGGACAGGTACCACGTGACCTCAGCCGCTCTAGGTGACCCCAACCTCACTACCTGAACAGGGCTCTTGTGTAGGTTACTTAGGAATGTTTGTAAAACGTGTCACAGTGCCCACCCCGCAAACGATGTGGCTGCCCCTCGTGGCCAGAGCGGTCTCCCCACCTTACAGTTACCCCCCTTCCTGATTGGGTTTTGGGTGGGGAGACAGGCTCACAGCGTAAAGACGCACCCTGTGGTCGCGTGGCATGTCCCCAGGCAGCACCACCCCTGCTCCCCACTGGGCGGAAAGGAGACCGGTGAATCAGGCCAGGGTCACTTGGGCAGGGGGACGGGGCAGGCGCCTGGGTCCTGTCCACACGGGGAGCAGCCCAGCGCGGTGAGTCAGCAGCGCCGGCCGCCCTCCCGCTGGGCCCGAGCCCCGGCCAAGGTGAATGAAATCCCTCGGCCGCGGCTGAATGGGGACACCAGGCTGGCCGCGCCCGCCGCCGACGCGGGTCCCGTGGGGCTGGATGCGCAGCCTGGCGTCACCGCCCAAGAATCCCTCCTTGTTCTGGAGCCTCTGCCCGTTGCCCAAAGAAAGGCACGCTCGCGGGGAAGGCCGCGGCGCCAGCACGGGCGGGCACGGGGGCCTCGCATCTGAGCCTCAGCCACCCGGTCACGCCCCGCCGGCACGGAATGCAGGGCCGTGGATTCCGGGACCCGGGCCAGCCCCGGCACGTGGCGAGGCAGTGAGCCCCAGCACCCGGCGGCTGTCAGTTCATTCCCTGTCACGCCCCCAACCAGACGACATGACAGCACCATCCCGCTTCAGAGGCAGGACACTCGAGGCCCAGAGAGGGCAAGCCACTTGTCCCTGATCACTCAGCCCAGAAGCAGATGCCAGCCCAGGCCACCAGGCCCACCTGGGTTCTTCCGGGCACCATGGAGCTTCCAGTCCTGCTCTGGGCCAGGGGCTGCTAGTGACCAGAAGCAGAGGTGGGGCGTGGAGTGGGGGTCGGCACCCAAGAGGCTCAGAAAGGCCCCGGTGGATGGGCCCGTGTGAGGCTGGAGGGGCTGGCAAGAGCTTCCACCCGGGACCTTGGCTGCAGGGGAGGGGTGGGAGGGGCAGGCCCGCCGTGTGGCCGCTGTCTGCGGGCGGCTCCCTCGTGGCCACTCCCCATGCCTGATGCCACCCCACCCGTGTGAAAGGCTCAGCCGGCTGGGCCCCAGCTCTCACAAAAGGCCGGCCTCTAATCCTGAGCTTACAGACAGCTGGCAGAGGCCGAGGGACAACCAGTCCCCCGACTATAAAAAACCACATTACCGCAGGGAGTGGAGCCGGCCCTGCATTCCACCGGGGCGGCGGCGGAGCCTCAGGCTCCCAGGGAGACGCGGCGGCCGGGTGACGCCTGGGCATGCAGCTGACCGCCAGCCCCTGGCCCCGACCAGCTCCCCGACAGGACACCCCATTTTTGCCAATGGAGCCGACTTCGGGGGCCCTGGAAAAGGACGCCCAGCTCTGAGGGCCAGTCTGCAGGCCTCAGACAGCCTCTCCCCAGGGTATGCCCCACCCCTGCCCTGCAAGCCCCCACCCCATCTACCCCCCAAGCCATTGGGAATGCCCAAAGCCCCCAAGCACGCCGGCCACCCAACACACCTCCACCTGCAGGCGGCTGTCCCTGCCCTCCGCCACCTTGACCGCTCAGGACTCGGGCGCCAGGCATCACCTTTTGGATGCCTTTCCTGACCCTGACCCCAACCTCCATCCAGGAAGCCAACAGTTCACTCCGTGATGTTTTCACAGGATGCCTCACCCAAGAGGACAGACCCCCGAGGGGCTGTACTCCACGTGTCTCCTGTCCAGCCCCCAGGCCCGAGCACACTGCGAGCAGAAGCCACGTCTCAGTGGTCAGGGCCCCCAGCGTCTGAGCCAGCACTCTGCTGTGGACAGAAAGATGTATTTGTGCAGGCTGCCGGCCTGGTTCCCTCCCCAGGGAAGCGCTCCCGGCACCTCTGGTTTGTTCTGGGGAGGGAAGAAAGAGCCTGCCCGGCTGTGCCAGGGGACACAGGTGTGGCTGCTTCTCTTGCTCCTGGCCTGCCCCTGAAGGCCGCCCCTCCTCCAGAGGCGGGTCTGTTCCCCTCCCCTGGAATCCGGGCCAGCCTGTGACCTGCTCTGGCTGATATCAAGTGGCAGAGGGGACGCTCTTCTGCTGGGCTGACACCTAAGGGGCTTCCGCGTTTGCCCTCCTGGAGCCAGCTGCCATGGTGGGACCCCTGTGAACCCACTGGCAAATGAGGCCCCGGGGGACCCAAGCATCCCGGCCACCAGCCGGCACTATGACTACCACCATGCCACTGTCGACTGACTCTGGCCAATAGCTCATGGAGCAGCCACAAGTCGTCCCTTGAGCCCTACCCAGACCTTTGACCACAGAATTGCAAGCCACACCCTTTGGGGGTGTTTGTTCCGCAGCAGCAAATAAGACAAGGAAAATGAGGAAAAGGTGAGAGAACTCCGCACGGAGCTGAGCACAGAGCCAGCTGCCTGCCCAGGCGGACGGGCACCCTGCCCGCTGGACAGACGCGGGGTTGTCGGGGTGCAGGCAAAGTTCACCCACATTATAAACACAATTACTTCCCAGGAATAGTCTCTCCAGTGAAGAAGCAGGTGCATCCAAGTCTTAAGACTCACCAGCCGCCAGAAAGAAAACACTGTCCACGCTGACCTGCAACCGTCCCGACTGGATCTGGGCTGACGTCTCTGCATGAAGTCAGTCTTTAAATAATCTCCAGGGCCCCGACCGCTGCCACCTGATCTGACTAAGTGTTCAGTATCCCAGCTCCTCAGAAAACAAAGTGACGCGTCACCCTTTGCAGACAAAAATCACACACTAGAAGTCTTGTCGGGGTCAGAGTCTGAAATCATCTGGAGGACTTTCATGCTGAGAAGGTTCTAGAAAGCTTCCATCCAGACAGCACTGCCTGGCCTTGAAGTCAGCCCTGCTAACCGAGCCCCTACGGACATTATTTTGCACAAAGTTTCCTAATAGAGTAAAATGTCAACTAATTGAAATTTCATTTTTCTATGCCCTCATTTTGTTAGAAAGAAGCAAAGTTCAATGGAACAAGTTCGTATCTGATATGCAGATAAATTTCATCCGACCACTTCACACTCACTCGCAGGATTATCATCAAAACCAAGCGGGAAAAAACCCAAGACCGAAAACCAACAGAAGACAGCAGGCGTTGGGCAGGTGTGGACAGGCTGGAAGCCGTGTGACCTGCTGCTGGGGTGGTGACATGGTGCGACTGCCACGGAAAACAGCGTGGTGGCCCCACAGCAGGCTCTGTGACAGGGACGCAAGGTCCCCAGGGCACAGGTGAGGAAACTGAGGCTCAGAGGGATTGAGAGAGGTCGAAGGAACGTGCGAATAAGTGACACTTTATCACTGAAATCCTGACGAGAACAGGATTTACTCGTATGTCCAGGAACCTCCCTTTAGAGATGTAAGATGTGGCTCACTGTCCAGGTGGTCCCCAGCGAGGCCACACAGCACGTCTCAAAGGGCAGGGGACACCATGCCTGCCCCTCAAGCTGCTTTTCTGCTCGGAAGGAAACTCCAGAGCAAAACCGCCCCCAAGAGGAAAGTGCTGACAGCTGGCGGGTGTCGGGATCAGCCAGCAGCTGCTCCTGCGCCGGGGACGCTGCCTGCTGCCCCCTCTGCCCAAGAGGGGGCTTTTGTTCCTCGAGAGGAGGAGGGAGGGCTGGCCTCTGTGCCAGCGCACAGCACACCAGGGACAAGCCACTCGGGAGGAGGGGGCAGCAGCCATGGCCCCTTCCTCAGACCCCAGGGACAGTCTCGGGGCAGCCATGTAGATGGGGAGCCGCAATGCCTGGACATGTCATCGTCACTGCAGAGGACAGCCTCCCAACCCCAATCTGGAGCACCCAGAGCAGGCCGACAGACCATGCTGTGCCTCAGTGTCCTCATCTGTGAGATGGCCGTGGCAGCGCACGACTCACGGGGCGGGGTGAGGGTGACGAGCTAGCACCAGCGAGCCCCTGGGTCATCCTGGGGGG